CATCTTAATTTCTTCAGCCTATCATTGCCCTGCTGATTGGTAAGGCAGGAGCTTTGTGGAAACACAATGCCTTTCTTCTGCCCTTGGTCCAATTTGCCATCTCTGGTAAAAACTCCTCAATCCATATTCCTTAAGTGGCTGTAAAACAGCAGAGGTGGTCCCTGTGATGGCTCCCAAAAGTGCCCTCTGACACCAGATGTCATGTGAAAGGCCTTTAGATTTGAACATCCAGGTCTAGATGTGTTAGAGGTGCCATCAGCTCCACTTCCTGAGGACCTTGTAACCTGGAGTCTGTCCCCAGCAGAGAGGTTTTTAAGCAGTATCACTGTGAGCACTGGATCTCTTCAGCACTTCTTACAACCTGATCTAACCTCACTTCCATGATCAGTCTCTTTTCCAAACTGGACTGCTCTTATGTTCAGTGTCTGGGACTCTTGGGGTGAGTCATGGACCCTAAATTGTCATCTTTTGTGTATTTGCTTTCTCATCATCTTCTGACTTTTGTCTCTTCTGGCAGTGCTGAGTCTGCAAGAAAACGGACACACCGTTTCAAAAGAAGCCAGAATTCTAAACATATTTATGTATTTGGAACATAAAAATATTTTTTTCTATTTTTGATACAGCATGTCCTTGGGTTTTATTTGATTTATATTACATACAATAAACCATTTGTAAGGTACTAATGATAAAATACAAGTCATGTCTCATGACAGACTTGGGGGGTTCTGAGCAGCAATGTTAGACTCATAGAACCATTCAGGTTGGAAAAGACCCTTGGGATCACTGAGTCCAACCATCATCCCTACTCTACAAAGTTCTCTAGTAGAAAGCAGCAGAGTCCACAGTCTGTGTCCACACTGGCTGAAACCCCGAGGAGACAACTGGAGGAGGAGGAGTTGTCACAGGCACCAGCAGCAGGGAGAGGTGGGAGAGATCACAGAACTGTCAGAGTTGGAAGGGACCTCTAAGAGATCATCTAGTGCAGCCCCTGCTAAAACAGGATCCCCTGGAGCACATCCCACAGGGCTGCATCCAGGGGGTTTGGAATGTCTCCAGAGAAGGGGACTCCACAACCCCCTGGGCAGCCTGTCCCAGGGCTCTGTCACCCTCATTGGAAAGAAGCTTCTCCTCATATTTCGGTGGCACTTTCCATGTTCCAGCCTGTGCCCATTGCCCCTTGTCCTGTCCCTGGGCACTGCTGAGCAGAGTCTGGCTCCTTCCTCCTGCACCCACCCTGAGATACTTCCAGGCATTGATCAGGTCTCCCCTCAGCCTTCTCCTCTCCAGGCTGAACAGTCCCAGCTCTCAGCCTTTTCTCATCAGGGAGATGCTCCACCCCCCCCCAGTCATCCTTGTTGCCCTCCCCTGGACTCTCTCCAGCAGTTCCCTGAACTGGGGAGCCCAGACTGGTCCCAGTTCTCCAGCTGTGGCCTCACCAGGGCAGAGCAGAGGGGCAGGATGACCTCCTCAACCTACTGACCACACTCTTCCTAATGCACCCCAGGATGCCATTGGCCTTCTTGGCCACAAGGGCACATTCCTGGCTCATGGACCATTTACTGTCTACCAGGACTCCCAGACCATGCTCCTCAGAACGCCAGCAGTGCCTGATGGATCAGCTACATGGAGAGAGACCTGCCTGGTTGGTTGAGCTGCACAAACCAAAGGTAAGGGAGACCTGGGGAGGTGCTGGGGTCTGCCCAGGGGGAGGGTCTGCTGGGTCCCTGGAGGGGAGGGCTGCTGGTGAAGGGGAAATGGGTGACCCCTTGGGAACCCCCTCTGTCAGGTGTCACTGTGGCATCTGCCCTAGCAAAGCTTTCTGCCATGGCTGGTGAATTTTCAGGAATTTGGGATAGTTTTCTGCCCCACCTCCTTGTGCAAGAGCTGCCAGGG